TACAGTTGAACCCATTTATTTCGAACTTTTAAGAGAAACTACAGTTCGAGATGTTGGGACTCGTGATGGCCGATAATAGTTAAGGAATGAAAAAGTATATTCAAGGGAAAACGAGTTGGATTCGAGAGATGTGGAGAAGAGTTTGGGATAATCGACTTCTAAGGCCCTATCCACACTACGCCGGAGGAATTTTCAAAACGCAATAATTACCGGTCATTTTGGATTTGTGTTTTGAGGAAATCTCGGTCAGGAAATCACATGATTATCGTGACGTAGGCGTTTTTAGAAAAGCTCCGTTTTCAAAATGTTTTTGCCTTTCACACGAAAACGAAAAGTGGTAGCTCTCAGATTCCTCTGTTTTCGTGACGGATTAGTCTGGACAGTAGGCTTAACTGTAGAAATAAAGATCCGTTTTCAAATTTCTGCGGCGTAATGTGGACGATGCCTAGATGGCCAGGTTCTACTGTACTAATTCCAAGAGCATTAATAGTGTGCATGGCCATTGAAAAGGCCTATTTCCTAGCTGTATATCAAAGAAATAACGATCCTTTCTCCTGTTGTCGAGTACAAGTGAGAGAAAGCTGGGCTGGAAGAACAGAAGAAAAAAATCTTTAGAATCTACCTAGTGGAAAAATAAATTGACAATCTACTAGACTAATGGGTCGTCTTTAAAAAGTTCTCAAACTCATTAATAATTCATCAAGTTAAACGAAGGAAATCATGACCGTGACGGTGTTCGGATATATGATCTTAATTAGCAAAGATTTTTATGTTTGTAATTCTCCATTTCCTCCTTAGTTTTAGTTTCGATTGAGAAGATATATCAAACACTTAAGACAGTGTTTGACCACATTTCCAAACACCTCGAAGCTCGAAGCTGTGGTCAAACACGATGTTTCGTGTTTGACATACTACTTGAACAATTATAGAAAACTGTATTGTTCAGAACTTACCTTCAGTTATCAAAATTTAGTAAATACAATTTAAATTAAATAAATAGTGTTTTTCACGTGTTCTGATTGGCTGAGTGGGAGGTGTTTAGCAAAGTGCTATTGAGCTCCACTACGGTGATTAACGATCAATGCGCAACGCGGGTAGACTAATTTTTGTTCAATGACTTTAAAATTATACCACTTTTTCTGTCAATCGTACTTCCCTGTGATTCCATGTTGTTTGAATAAATCGAACCTTGAATTAAATAAAAAAAATATTTATCAGTCGGACCTCTTGTGGAAGTTAAATAATGTTTTTAGCTATCGGCAGGTTTTTAAGCTTAGATAAGTCTCGTTTTCGCGCTTACCTGCATATTTTGCCACCATATAATTGCATCTCATATCGACCAAACGCGAGTGAAATAATCGCTTTATTAAAAACGCCCCCAAACTATAGAAAACTAAAATAAAGTAAAAAAAATAGTGAAACGCTAAAAAACAATAATCGTTGGATGTTGTCCAACGACCACGTATGCTTTCCATATTTGCAGAGCATGGTATAATGGCTCATATACCATGATGGGTAGTAGGTCGGTCCAATTGTGCTCGTAAAATGCTGAAAAGGTTCTTACTGGAATGCTAAAAAGTTGCTAAAATAGTGCCAAAAATCCGTTTTGACAAAAAAAACAAACCAAAAAAATCCAAAAGTTGCCAGCTAAATTTCTTGAAATTTTTATATATATGTTAATTAAAAGTTTTATTGTTCGTTCTTCACAATAATTGCTAACATTGGTCAAGAAAAATAGTTTGGAACTTAGCTTAAAAGAATTACTCGCAAATATGTGCGAAATTTAAGGATACTCTTAAGTCTAACGCAGAACGATATCAGGGAATTTCAAAGGTTGATAAACATTTAAGAAATTCGCATAAATTGAAGTTTTCTGTGAAATCGTTGGCTTTTTCGTGCTTGATATGTGCTCTAAACCTATATTTTGCTCAAAAGTTGCTCTGAAAAGCAAAACTTGCTCGAGGTGGCAAGAAACGCAAAAGTTGCTGCAAACGCAACAGTTGCCCAAACGTTGCCGAGTAGAATCGGGACAGACCTAATGGTTAGTCCAATGAAAACTCTTGAATTGTATTATCCAATGA